ATCTCTTCAAAAAGCCTTCTCAACATCTCTGTTGCAGATACATTCATACCTGATGTGGGATGTCCTTCTGTATATGTGTTGCTTTTATTGGTTGATGAATAAAAAAGTCAGGCAGGAAATTCGAACAGAAATAGATAAAGAGAGCAGGCAGAGTCAGGGAGATGCCATGTAGCTGCTGAAGGATGAAGATGCAACCAAAACATACCAGTAGGCCACAAATACATGGTGATACATAGATTAATAGAAATAGGTTAATTTAAGATGTAAGAGTTAGTTTATAAGAAGCCTGATCTAATAGAACAATCACTGTTGTAGTTAATAAAGTTTCTGTGTGATTATTTGGGTCTGGTTGGCCAAAAAATGAACGAGCAGTATCCATTTACACATACCTGACCTCCAATTCATATGCCAAGGTCATAACCCCAAATGTAGTTAGAGACAGATACACTATCTATCTCTAAGTTTGCATCTATGGTATAGTGTAGATGGAAGTTTCTCTCCCACCCAGTCCTTTAGTTGTTCAGTCCCAAAGAAGCACTTTGGAGGATTATATTAATTATAAACTGTTTGGCCTATTAACTCAGGCTTATTATTAACAAGTTCTTACAATTTAAATTAACCTATAATTCTTGTCTATGTTTTGCCACGTGGCTTGGTACATTTCTTTTCTCAGTAAGGCATTCTCATCTTATTTTCTCTGCATCTGACTAGTGACTGTGTCTCTGCATTTCTTCTTCCCAGAATTCTCTTAGTCTGGTTACCCCACCTATACTTCCTGTCTGGCTACTGGCCAATCAGCATTTTATTAAACCAATATGAGTGACAAATCTTTACAGTATACAAAAGCATTATCCCACAGCAGTTCCCCTTTTTTTTCTTTTCAAAACAAGACACTGAGTCTATTTTTCCTTTGTTTAGCTTTTTTCCTGATCATTCATTGTGCATAACAACTTGCAACCAAAGCTCTAAACAGACAAGTATTTATAATCCATTTTTTTGAGAATCTGGTGTAATTTTCTAGGTGAATCCCTACTGAATGGGGGCACTGATGATATTCTGGGGACCCAAAGAATATTTAAGGTTATGGTCAAGTCCTGACTGAAGTATTCTGTGAGACTGGATCATCTCACTCACCAGTCTTAAGGCTGATTTACATGTCGAAGTTAGAGGAAACTGCAACAAAGGTGCTCCGAAACACTAGATCATTTGGGCCATCTGTTTCCATTGGAAATTTTTCAGTGTCTTCCTCCATCAAACCTTATTTTTATTAACCCCGAATGTATCCACAGCAACTCATTTCCTGTGGAAACAAAAGTAAAACCTCTTCTCCAAAGTAATATATCTTTTGACTTAAATTTTAAAGTCAAGGCATTATTCAAAATATATAGATTGGATTAATCCAGTAGTATTAATAATCAAACATCTTTTAGCAGTTACTGTTTCTTCCTCATCAGTCAAATAATTCAAGGTCAACACAATAACATACTATCCAGATTTTCTGTGTATTTTCCATCTTTTCATGGCCCATTTTGATTTTTAATTTTATTTTCTTTAAGAACCTTTTTAACCTCAAGTCCAAATGGATCAAAGACCTCAACATAAAGCAAACACACTAAACCTCATAGAAGAGAGTGTGGGAAGCACACTTGAGTGCATTGGAACAGGAGACCACTTCTTAAATATGACCTCAGCAGCCCAGACACTGAGAGAAACAATTAATAAATGGGACCTCCTGAAACTGAAATGCTTCTGTAAAGCAAAGGACATGGTCAACAAGACAAAATGACAGCCTACAGAATGGGAAAAGATCTTCACCAATCTTACATCAGACAGAGATATGATCTCCAAAATATACAAAGAACTCAAGAAAATTGGTCATTAAAAGAAGAAATAACCCAATTAAAAAAAATGGAGTATGGACCTAAACAAGAACTCTCAACAGAGGAGTCTAAAATGGCTGAGAGATATTTAAAGAAATGCTCAACATTCTTAGTCATCAGAAAAATGCAAATCAAAACAACTCTGAGATTCCATCTTACACCTATAAGAATGGTCAAGATAAAAAGCACTGATGACAACTTATGCTGGAGAGGTTTTTGTCTTTCTCATTCAAACTTGTGTCCTGACCATATTAACTTGACTTATTAACAACAGGTAGCATTTTCCCAATTTTGCAGGAGCCAGCAAGCTACAGAACCAAGGATCTGGGAGAAACCTATGAAGAAAGTATATAAAGGAAAGTCATGTACAAATGGGCACATATTAAACCAAAAATGAAGAGAATACCTTAAAGGCATTTAGAATAAAAAACAAATTACTTTGTCAAGTGACACAAGAATCACAGCTAACTCCTTTTCAACAACCATATGAGCCAGAAGATAGGAGAGCATTAGCTTTAAAATACTTCAAGGAAAGAGGACAGAAATGATGAGTTACAAATATCGTGGATGAAGAATTCATCATTGTAGATTCTGCAGACATCTCAAGAGTAATAAGCACCTACCTTCCACATCTACCTTTTCACAAGCATAAAACTTACGTGGCAGGCAAAGTGATGAGCTCATGAAAGGGCAAAACTCCTCAAATTCTCTCAACAAAAATGTAACCAAAATAGAGTTCTATATAATATATAAATCAAATTAATAATTTATAACTTTTTTCTTTATTGGTAAATTTTACTAAATATTCAAGAAAGAATATCAATTTTATACAAGCTGACCCAGAACATAAAAAGGAAACCTTTCCCATATTTTGCAAGACATGTATTACTCTGACAACAAAATCTCAATATTCTCTATGTACATATAAGCAAAAATCCAGCAAAATAATAGAAAACCAAATCTTGCCATTATATGATATGATAAGCAAAGTTTAGACATTAGGTGAAACTTAGGGAACCCTTCAGAAGAGTGGGAGGAAGGATTGTAGGAGACAAAGTGGTTGAGGATACAAGGAGAGCAAGGCCCCCAAAATCAACTAAGCAGGGCTCATATGGCTCAGAAAGAATGAAGCAGCAATCATGGAACCTGCATGGGTCTGTGCTAGGTTCTGCATAAATGCTATGGGTGTTTTCTTGTAGTGTTTGTGGGGCTTCTAACAGTAAGAATGGGGTGTCACCAGGTGATGGTGGCACATGTCTTTAATCCCAGCACTCAGGAGGCAGAGACAGGCAGACCTCTGTGAGTTCAAGGCCAGCCTGGTCTACAGAGTGAGTTCCAAAACAGACACCAAAGCTACATAGAGAAACCCTTTCTGGAAAAACAAAAATCAAAACAAAACAAAAAAGAATGGGGGTGTCCCTGCCTCTTTTGTCTGCTCCTGGGACCCTTTTCCTCCTATTGAGTTGTCTTGACCAGCCTTGATATGAGGGTTTTTAACTCACCTTAGAGTATCTTGTTATACCATGCTTGGTTTATTTCACTGGGAGTCTTGCTCTTTTCTGATGGGAAATGGGGGAGCAGTGGACTGGGGGAGACAGGAAGTGTGGGGTACTCAGAGGAGTAGAGGGACGGAAGCTGTGGTTGAACTATATTTTATGAGAGAAGTATAAAATAAAAGGAAAAAAGAAAAAAGAAGAAAATTTATCTCAAGAGTTTAAGATTGATTCCATTTTATAAAAATCAATATTCTTTTTTGAAAAAGATTTATTTTATTTTTATTTGTGTGTGCACGTGCACATATGTGCATGTGTACACATAGGTGGGTACCTGTGGAAACCAGAAGAGAGGACTGGATATTCTAGAGCTGGAGTTACGGGAAGTTGTGAGCTACCTATATGAGTCCTAGGAGCTAAACTTTGACCCTCTGCAAGGGCAGGAATATCAGCTTCCTCTGCACTCACTCCTCTAGCTAATTACTGACGGTCAACTTAACAGAATCTAGAACCACAAAGAAGGCAAACCTCTAGGTACACCTGAGAGAGACTATCTTAATTAGGTTCACTGAGTCAGGAAGGGCACCATAAGATGGGGCAACTCCATTCTAGGCTGCTGTGCCCAGAGAATTAAAAAGGTAGATGGGCACGAGTGCCCACCACTTTCTGCTTCCCCACAATGTAACCAGCAGCATCAGGCACCTGCCACCATGACTTCCTCCCCATAACGGCTTGAACTCTTGAACTGTAAGTGAAAAACCTTTTTCCTCTTGAGCCCATCCTTGTCAGGTATTTAATCACAGCAAGGATATTAGTAACTAACAAAACTATGCTAAGCACATCACTACAGTGCATGGGACAAAACATGCACTCAGTAAATAGCATTGAGTGAATTCTCACTATAATGATGAGCTGGCATGGTACCTAGCCTCTAGACAAAAAGGATAAAATCCAGGCCAGTTTCCTAGCAGTACAGACTGCAAGGCTGACAGCAGTGCGGCTTGTGCTGGAGGCCAAGACATACTGTGAGAACACACCGATAGCCCTCGCTGAGCTGGCATGGGAGCGAAGAACTTTGGCTGGGTCTCTGTCAGTGAGCAGATGTGATCTGAAGACAAAAGGGGACCTGCAGCTATGGTTCAGCAGGAAGGTGACATCTCCAGAGGCTCTTTCCCCACTCTAATCATGCGCTTAGGTTGCTGAGGCCAAGCACAGAACTTAGGAGTTTACTAAAATCAAGCCTCTCTCAGATGTAGTGAAATCTGATTAAAGTAATTCACTGAGCAGTTTTAAATACCCCAATAATTTTCAAAGCGATTCCCTGTGTTCACATAGTATATCTGACGGCCTAAACAAACCTAAATCATTGTGTTTAACCAGGCCCCCTCCTGGTTGGGGTAGAGCAACAGAGGGAGAATTGCCATTTGATGTTCTGACTTTCGAGTTCCATCCTAAGTGTTGCACCACATTCTTTTTTTTTTTTTTTAAAGATTTTGGGAGTTACTTTTGAAATGCTCTTTTATTTTAAAATAACTGAATATATATTGAGTACCTATAAACCAGGAAACAGACTAAAAAATAGATTTTCTCTAAAAATATCTTTTTCATCTAATTTTAAAATACATAGGAAAAAGGCATTGGAAGAATTTGGACACGAGGTCAACTTCTGCTACTGAAAGCGAGTTCCCATCACATCATTTATCTACCTGAAAAATCAGGTGAGTGATGAGTATTGGCAAAGACCTGAGGTGGAGAAAGAAATACTGGACAGGAAGTGATTTAGACAGCTGTTTCTAAACCAGATGCTCCAAGACTGTGGGCCAAAGATCCTAGTCCATTCTTCCAGTGTAACTCAAACTCTGAATTTAAATAAATGTAATATTTTTATTTTTGCACGGTTTTAGGCAAAGCTAATGCCCACCCATTAAGTATGTTTCTAAAAGACATGATCACCACAAATGGCTATTTTTATGTGGTGTTGAGCAGCCATAGTATGTTAAGTGTGGAGCCTACCACTTAGGAGAAAGACCAAGACTGGATAGACCACACCATAATTCCTATGGAGTTTTGAAAACTCTGAGGATAAAAATAGTGGTTGAGTGCAAAGCTCTGGAATTTTGATTTCATCCTCAGAATCTGAAATGAGATGGTGATGATGGAAGTCACAAAACAATCCCACACCAGTTCAGAATTATGAATAATAAAAGGGTTATTTATTTAAGGGGAAAACTTACAGTTCGCTGTCCTATATAACAGTCCTCTGCACATACAGGAACAGAGTCTAGCAGCCAGAAGTGGAACCAGAAGCAAGAGAACTTGGTTGTTTACAGCTGCTTTTACAGTATAAGAGACCACGCCCAAGTGGACTGGTATCTGAAAGGCTATTGGCTGAAGGAGCAGAATGTGCTCCCACAGCAAGATGGAGTTGTGGTTAATTGGGTGGCTTCCCCACTGAGCATTCTGGGCCAGTGTTGCTCTCACTGGTTTCCTTCCTGAACCCTTTGACTCTGCCTGGCTTTATTTGAAAAGTTGTTTGCTTCCTTGTGTTCTGTTTGCCATAGATCATGAGGTGGCTAACTTCACAAGATTATCAATTTCACAGGTTCTAGGCTCACCTGGGAGACAAACCTCTGAGGATGCCTGGGAAGACTGAAGCTCTTGCTGCCAAACCTTCCTCACTGTGATAGACTTCCTCTCCATGTGACTTCCCTTTAAACTGTGAGACAAAATAATTCCTTCCTTGCTGACATCACTTGGGCTCAGTATTTTGTCACATCAATGAAGAAAGTAACGACTACAAACCATGCTCTACTGCATAATAATGTAAGACATAGCCAGATTTTTACGCAGTTATGTCTAAAAGGCAGCAAATGGTAGACCAATCCAATACTTATAAAAGGCAGGTAGTGACCTTACTGACTTCATGGTTTTCTGGCATTCAGTTTGAAAGTTCTTTCAGCAAACTCATTTTCACTCTTCTTGTATCCTATTTGGAATGGTAGAGCCTTAAAAGACGGCTGGGATTAGACTCCAGGTCAGTGTATCAACCTTCATAGTCTGCATATAAAATCAATCCCTATATGAACAAGTATGGCAATGACAAGGAAGTGGTGTGTAGTCTGTGGCCCATTCATCTACATGATAATACTAAAAGACACAGCTACGACACCCACACAAATCTTCTCGCCACCATTCAACAGTCAAGTTCCAGGCTGAACTTTATTGCCCCTTTTATAATTTTATTTTACTTATATATTATTTCATATATCTGTACAGTATTTTTGAGTACATTTACTCCCCTCTCACATCTCCGTTCCCATCCCTCTCCCAACCTCATATCCTTTTTTTCTCCACTTTACTCCCCACTTCGAGCAGCACATGGGTGTAAGTTACTGCCCTATTCTATTCTGAGTCTTTGTGTTATCTAATGGTCATTCTTCTCTATTTATTCTCCAGTGGAAAAAGAACTAAGAAATCAAATCCTGAGCTCATTAAAAATAGACTAAGGAAAACAGAATAAATTAGAGAGAGAGAACCAAAAGGAAAAAAAAATACCCGAAAGTTACCTAAGTTACAAAATGTGTTGCTGTTTTTGTCATGGAGGCCACGGAGAATCCACCCCAAATTGGCATAAACATACGAAAGAAATTACTGGCTTGTATATTTGAGGAGTCTTAGTGAAGGTTGGCTTCTAAAACTGACTGATGGAGAGACTCAGAGTTTCTTTGTTTCCATTTTTCAACTTCATCTCCTTGGGCAACACTAGACTCAGAAGGAACAGTGTGACTTCTACAAAGCTGTATTTTCCATCCTCTTTGCTGTCAATTCGGACATAAGGGAAACTTTTTTAGATGTTTCAGCCAAAGTTTGTTTCATCACAACAATTCTGCATAAGTTACATGTCAGTGCTAATGGCTAAGAGCACCATGCTTCAGCTGGCCTAGGTGAATGTCAAAAGCTTATGAAAGCCGTGGTACCTAGGCCAAGAGAATAGGAGTCATTGCTTAGAGAAAATTCAGGTTTTACCCAAAAGGCAGAGAGATACCAACTAACAAACAGCTTATCTCTACTACATTTCTTTTCCCCCCAAGTTTTGATTGAAACTACCTTTTCTGGTTCTCTGAACTTCACACTTAATTCTCAAATATTCTCATTGTTTCTTTGAGTCTCTGGGCAACAGAATCAACAATACAGCATAGATGTTGTATCCTGAGCAATTATTAGTTACTGTTTAAATATTTCCTCCCAAAGAAATGTAAATTCCCATCCCTGCACCCCCACCCATGTCCATCAATGCCAGAGGCAGGTGGGAGAACTGGCCCTGGCTGTTACCAACTGCAGCACTCCAGAGAGTGGCCCCTGCACCACACCTGGGCAGCACAGCAGAGCTGGCCTCGAAGGGTGTGTTCCATCCCTTGATCATTATCCCAAAGAGTGAACTAGCCAAGGACCATGAAGGAGTGCTTGCTCTGGTGGTGAGGACAAGGTGGCATGCTGACCAACCCTACAACTTCCCAGTCCCAGAACCAGGGTTATGAGTTGACTCACTCCAACATCCACCCATCTGTGATCTGCTGGAGCATGTGAAGGAACCTGACCCACAGACCCAAAGTGGCAAGGATCTCCACGACACAGGGCAACAACAGGATAACAAGAGGAGTCCCAGGGAGGGCCCAGCATCCATAGTGTAGCAGAAACCAGAGGCCTCGAACCAGACCAATGGCTCTGCAGTGAATGCTTGCTAGCAAAAATATATGGACAACAGGGTTTACTGTGTGATTCACTGTGCCACACTGAAGCTTCCATGGAGAGATTGATTTTGCTTCTTTTTTTCTCTTAAATTTTATTTTACTTTTTTGTGGAAAAGTTACAAGGACACAGTGCAGTTATGAAGGGATGGAGAAATGAATGGAACAGAAATGTATGATATGAGAGACACAAAGAAGGTTTTAAAAAGAAATATAAATTCCCCATAAAGATACGAATAATGTTCGACATCTGTAGTCACCAAGGAAATACAAATCAAAATTATATGAGAATTTAATATCTCCCCAAACTGAATGCTAATCATCAAGAAAGCAAATGACAAGTGCCGGTGGCTATGTGGTAAAAAAGATGAATCCTTATTTACTGATTATGAGAGTGTAAATTTACATGGCCACTATGGAAATCAATATGGAGGTTTCTTGAAACCAAGAAATAGTTAACACTATTTGGCCCAGTTATACTATTCCTGAGTGTGTAATGTAATGGATCTATCCTAGTCTGTTTTCTGTTGCTGTGTTAAAATACCTCAACAAAAAGCAACGTAAGAGGACAAGGGTGTCTTTTAGCTCACACTTCCAGGCCACAGTCCATCACAGCGAAGTTATCAAAGCGGCGGGAGCTTAAGACAGCTGCAACATCACATCCCAAGTCAAGATCAGAGAGAGTGAATGCAAGAATGCTACTGACTTGCACTCAGCTTGAAAGTTTTACTCCTATATAGTTCAGAAATCCCTGTCTAAGGCATGGTGCCCATGATGAGCAAGGTCTTCCTATGTCAATTAACTTAAGACAGTTAGTCCCTGTAAACACGCCCACAGGTCAACCTGATCTATACAGTCCCTCATAGAGGCACTCTCCCCAGGTGACTCTAGGTTATGTCCAGGTGAGAACTCAAGTTAATCGTCAGAGAATCTAAGTCAGCATACCACCAGGTTGTGTGCAGTCCATATCTGCTGCTGTGTTATTCACACCCTAAGTATCCATAAAGAAATGAATAAAGAACATGTGGCATATATACATACGCCATAAAGGGGAGCGAAACTTTATCATTTGCTGGAAAATGGATGGAACTCAAGATCATGTTGAGCAAAATGAAACCAGATAATGAAAGACATATTGCATGCTTTCTCTCATGCACCATGTTTGTCTATATTTAATAAATAAGAAATGAAAGTAAGAAATTCATTAAGGGAAAGGAAGTAACATAAAGTGGGAGAGAAGCAGAGAGTGATGGAGAGGAAGAAATAGACAACTATCATGCCTCACTCTTTGAGAGTTCAAAGCCTTGCCCCATTTCCAGTTTGATCTTTGGGCTCGGTGTTCACAGGCGAAGATGTGTTCTCGGCCCCCTGCTCCAGGCACCTGCTCCACTCCTGCCATTCTGGACTTCTCCTCTGGAGTCATAAGCCAAAATAAACTCTTTTTTTCCCAATAAGTCGCTTTTGGTTTGGTGTTTTACCAAAGCAGCAAAAAGAACTGATACCCTGGTGTCCGTGTAGCCTCACCTTCTCGTGGGCCGTCGTCTCAGTTTAGGCTCTAGGGTAACAACTAGCTAGGCATAGGAACAAATGGGCTCCCCTATGTGGATGAACTTTCTTTCTGCCCTAGAGCCTCTCTTTCCACATCACCTGCAGTCTTAAGCATTCGGATGCATGGGCAGTCCTGAAATCATGAGTAGTCCCTAGCCAGTGGAGAACAAAAGGCAGTGGATAAACAGTCCATTGTCCTGGCTCCTGAGCTAGAGAGCCCCCGACTCTTCTCCTCTGTAAGTCCTCAATGTGTCTTCACAGAAATGGTATTCAGGTTACTTCCAGCCTGATCACCTCTCTTAGACTAGCTGCAAATGTGTGTATTTTACTTTTTCAGCTCCCTAGACAGGCTCTTTAAAATCTCTTGCCCGGACACACTCCTGGTCTCAAAGCTTTTGCCTCAGTTTCTCCATCCTGGGGAATATTCAGTTCTGATAGGCCAAGCATTCATTGTCAGTCAGTTTACTGGTTCAAGAACAGTGAGGGTACCAAAGACATATTTATGGATATAATTGGATTAGAAAGAAATGGAAGCAGTAAAGATGTCAACCAATACGTGCTATACTTGAGAGACAGGTGTACTAGACACGAGTACACTAGAGGAAACAAGCGGCTATCAAGGTATACGTGTGGGAAGTTCAGCCCAGTGACCAAAAAGGCATTCAAGTCAGCTGGACATTGGAACCCGGAGAGGGTCACACACACCCTTACCTCCTATATTCCTTTAGTCACTACTTATTCTGGACATGCTGCTCCTTATTCCAGTTAATTAAATTTCCTAAGTGAATACCAATTTTTACTTTTCCTGACCAATAAGCATTCGTGTCAAAACCTGTGATTTCCCCTTCTGAGTTAGGATCAGCGAGGTATGAAAAATATTTGTCTCCTTCCAAACAAATGTAAGGGTTGATGCGGCTGTGTAGAGTTAAGCAACAGTGACTTGCAGGCTAGCGCTTTGACTCTTCAGTGGCTCCTAAGTGCTGCTTGACCTCTGCAGTTATGATTCTTCCCTTATGCTGCTGGGCAACAGTGAGCAACAGTTAGAGGAAAGAGAAGAGATCAATGCGTAACGACTCTAAGTCATGCCCCAAAAGCCCATTGCCATGCCTGCCCGATGACTTGTGAGAAAGATGGTAGTCAACACCATCACCATAATGGGTTAGGCCACATTAGCCAAACAAACAGAAATTATTTCCTGCATTAACCCAAAGCTATTTATCTTTGTGGATTCTGTTTTACAGGTTTTTTTTTTAAGTGACAGGCTTGTCTGGAAGACAAAAGTTGTCTAACTCTTGCCTAGAAATGGAAAGAAGGGGGAGTGGACAAAGCATCCTGACCATTGAGGTAATGGATGGCCTTCTTAATGGTCCAAAAAAAGCATAATGCAGACATAGTAAAATTAGCATGTATCAAGGACCTCTGA